AATAAATGGAAAGAGTGTATCAAGTGGGGGAAAATTATGCGCTCCTCGCCAAATCGCTCCCTTAGCAACGGGGACAAAAATTTGCTTGCTAAACCCAAGTACAGGTGTCGCGTAGCAATATAAACTCGAAGTTCGAGTGTCGTATTCCTCAAAGAGCGTTGAAAAGAATGCAGAATTATCAAGACTGAAACAAAGAATAATATCGAATGAGATGTAACTTATAGAAGAAAAGTTCAACAATTAAAAACACTAAAGCATCAGGGTTCCACCCGCATACAACTATGCAATTTCACTATTTCAATTCCTTTTTATAACTCAACCGAGATACCAACAACAATTGATCTCAACTGGAAAATATAGCAATTAATTTTGTAAAATATGTGGAGGTATTTTTGCCATTTGAAAATTTCATTATATTGGCACTAATTGCTATACTTTGAAAAAAAAACATTTTTTTTAGAAGAATTATAGACCCTGATTCTGTTTTTCTATGCATTTCTATTGCCGTTGATATTAGTTTTTTTTTTTTTTTTTTTAAATCAAGATTTTAAGATAGTTTATTAAGATTTTAAAGAAATTTATAACATTCCGGGTGTAAAAGTTGAGGAATTTGAGGGAATTGGAGAGTTTTGTAGTGTATTTTAAGCGTTCATATAACTCACATCCCCCCTGAAATTTCGAGGGAATTGAATCAAAATTTTACATGGAATCTCTACAAATCAATTAAAATTTTCTCAAAATCTATTGATTTATAAATCCATTAAAATTTCTTTAAATCTCAATTAAATACACCCTCTGACATAAAAGTACAAGCAAATCGAAATTGACCTGCTATAATTAATATACGAATAGGACCCAAACGACAATGTGAATAAGATATGGTTATAGAATAATGACCCACTATAATATACGAATAAACTCAAACGACGTGAATACGATATTATTATTGAAAATCAATGTCACTTTAATAACATTACATTGATATATTGATATCAAATATCGATTTCATATCAACACTACATTTTGTTTTTTGGGTAAAAGTTTGACTGCAACAAAGCTACAAACAAACCCCCTTAACTTTGTTCAACAACAAGCCCAAAATTACAAGTAAACCAAAGGCCTAACTGACAACAATACATAACCAAAAAAGGGCCCAAACCAAAAGAAAAAACAGAAAGAGGGCCAAACAACAGTGAAGCCCAAAAACACACAACAGTTCACAACAGCTGAGAAACTTCTACTGAAGGCTCCTACACCAACAGAGAGCTAGGCCAGCCAACTGAAACGTCATCCACCAACGAGTATCGCCAGCGCAGACACTACCACCAACCGCGAACAGCACCCAGATCCCAGCCATTAACAAGAGATAGTCGGCACCAAAGAGGGATTAGCCAACTACTAATAAGAAGCTCGGGGAAACCCACAAGCAACACTGTCGAAAACGACAGACAACAAGGAGAATGTGGTGGTGTTGGAAACACTCGAGCCAGGGAAAACATCCCAGCTCTACACACGAACTCAAGAGGAAATAATATAGTGGTTGAAGATAGGACTGAGGAAGAGATGGGGAGAAGGATAATGACGGGAATAAAAGAACAGAGTAGACCAGAGGGAAAATTAGGGAGGAACATCATGAGAAGCGAAAAGAAAAGAAGAAGAAGAAAAGAGGAGAGAAGACACGGCAGAGAATGGGAATAGAGGAGAAAACAAAAGAAATGGAGAATTAGGGAGGAACATCATGAGAAGGGAAAAGAAAAGAAGAAGAAGAAAAGATGAGAAAAGACATGGCAGAGAAGGGGAATAGAGGAGAAAACAAAAGAAAGGGAGAATTAGGGAGGAGCATCATGAGAAGCGAAAAGAAAAGAAGAAGAAGAAAAAAAGAGAGAAGACACGGCAGAGAAGGGGAATAGAGGAAAAAACAAAAGAAAGGGAGAAGAGGCAACCGACTCTAACCGAAGCTAAAGTCGACGCTTGAGATTGTGGTCAAGCTGGAAACCCCCACCAAAAAGAGGGAAAGAACCCCTCACAGAAGGAGAGAAACTCTCTCTCGGAATGAGAGAATCTAATTCCAGTTCATCAACACTACATTAACGACATATTAACATGCATACTCCCCTACTACCAATTAATTTTATAATAAAGCATTTTTCTTTAAATTTACAACACACCAACGCAATCTTATAGTTTCAACTCAAAATAACACTAGTAAAAGATATGTCTATTCGGCTTCTAGACATGTCTAAGGGATGAGAAATTTTTCCAAGTACCTGTCACACATGCTGACTTGGAGTTCCCCATTAATAGACATTTGACACTTATCCTTCTACTTCTTAAATGACACGAAAATACCCATTTTACCCTTATATTCATTTCACAAAATAATTAAATAATTAAAAAATATTGAAGGCCATATCTCATACCCCTAATCTCCAATCCCCAATCTCCATCGCCCATCCCCCATCCCTCCACTGCTCCATTCATCCTGCCTTTCCGCATCACCTCTCTCCCTATCTCTTTCTTTCTCTTTCTCTTTCTCTTTCTCTTCTCCTTTTTATTTCTTCTCTTTCCTGCTCTAGAGTAAGAACAAAAAGGATGTCAGCGAACTCCGATTGATAGATCGAGATTGATGACAGCAAATCTAAGTTGGGATCGCCGCCGACAATCTCTGGGTTCCATGTAGATGTAAGAGCGGGAGAGAGAGAAAGATAGAGAGAGAGATAGAGAGATAGAAAGTCAAACAGAAAGAAGGGATGATGATGCTAGAAAAATCCCCAACCGATGATGAAGGTGGGTGCGGGTGGTTAGACGTCGTGTTGCTCGTGAGCCTCTAATATCATTTTAAGTTTATTTTAAAATAATTGTCAATTTTTTAATTTAAAAGAATAAAATATGCAAGTGTTAAATGTTTATTAGTGAAATTCTAGATCAGCATATGTGACAGGTACCGGAAAAAATTTCTCCCAAAGGACAATCCTTATTACAAATTAACAAGAGTTCTCCGTTGAAATACAAATGGCTCAATAAAATAGATATAAGTACACATCATTGGATGGAGGTGGGTGCGGGTGGTTAGATGTCGTGTTGCTCGTGAGCCTCTAATATCATTTTAAGTTTATTTTAAAATAATTGTCAATTTTTTTAATTTAAAAGAATAAAATATGCAAGTGTTAAATGTTTATTAGTGGAATTCTAAATTAGCATATGTGACAGGTACTTGAAAAAATTTCTCCCAAAGGACAATCCTTATTACAAATTAACAAGAGTTCTCCGTTGAAGTACAAATGGCTCAATAAAATATATATGAATACACATCACTGGCTTACGTCAATACTTTAAATAGTTCATAATTCTCAATAAAATAGTTGTGTGTGCTTTTTTTTAGGGAGTTTTAACGAAAAACTCATAGTACTGTTTATTTTAACGAAAAATTACATTTTAACACTAAAAAGTCAATCATGATACTATTTACTTTATTCTTTATTTTGTCTTTATTATTAAAACTCAAAATTTTCAATCCTTTTAGTTTTCTTTTTTTTTAAATCTTATCTTGGGGCTGCTGCTCTAGGGCATCCAATTCTTCTTCTTTCTTTTTATCAATAAAATAGATATGAGTGCACATCATTTGCTTACCTCAATGCTTTAATTTTTTTTTTAAATAATTCTCAATAAAATAGACATGGGTGCACATCACTGGCTAACCTCAATACTTTATTTACTTTTTTAATTCTCAATAAAATAGATATGGGTGCACATCATCGGCTAACCTCTAAAGTTATTAGGTTTAATGTAAGGATAAGTTAGGAGATTAAATATCTAAACTAAAATTTGTAAACCAAATGATGTAGACGTTGATGATTGATTTATTATTTAAGTATTGATTATTGTGCTTATTTTATATTGTTGGCATATCATTTAGTTTGTAAATTTGGTTTATAAATTTTGACTCCAAACATCATTCTTATTGATATGTTATTAATAAAAATATACACGTTAATCAACATTAAGTAATAATTTACCAACCATATTATTTGTTCTACAAAATTTAAAGAAATTTTTCAGGGAGCTCGAGTTCTCGGCCTATATCAATCTGACATCTACAATATCATATTTTCAAATGTCATCTTTTTAAATGACGGCATCCTTAAAACTTTTTTTTTAATATTAAAACTACGTGACTAAATTTCAAAACTAATTGAAAAATCCAAATTACTCCCAGGATCTCGAACCCGCGGCCCACCCCCACCTATTCCTCCCTTCCATACCCGTATGTTGCCCCTTCTCTTTCTTTCTCATATCTTCTTCTTTTATCCTCTTCTCTTCGTCGGAGAAGAACACAGTTACACGGGAATCTAACCACTTGACCAGCTACTAGAACAGTAGTTGGCGACACCAGATCTGTGGTTGGAGTTGACGTCGAACATTCCTGGGCTTCCATGTCGAAGAAATAGAAGGAGATGAGAAAGACAAATAGGAGAAGAGAGAAGAGATTCACCGATAAAATCGGCGATGGAGGTGGATTGTGGTGTCAGGCGTGTAGTTGGCGTTGACGAGGTGGTGCGATAGGGATAATTCAAATATTTTGTTTGATAAAAATTTTAGTTGGCATTTTCTTGTCTGAAAAACAAAGCAGACAGGTGTTAACCTTTGATTCATTGGGAACTCCAGCCGTGGCAGCTCCTGAAAATTTTCTTTAAAATTTAATTTAAAATTTTAGTCTCTCTTATTAGATTATTACTTAAATTTAAATTAATGTAATTATTTTCTATTTATGACACATTAGTTAATTTATAATTTTAGTTAAAATTTTAGTGTAACAATACTCTTAAATTATTATAATAATGATTCTATGGTGCTTTATAATATTGTATTCTTTAAACCTTCTTACCGGTAGATATTGGACAAAAACACAAAAATATATTCCATGACATCATAAATTTTTTTAAGGTACATATTTAATTATATCGTGAATTTTTGACTGCCATTGGCTTGAATCCAACCCATAAGCAAACAAACCAGTTCACGTTGGAAGTTAAATAATGAGGAAGATACAAATTAATATTACAATCATTTCGACAAGATAGTAACTTATTAGTGGATAGCCTGATCTTCTTCTTTCTTTCATCCTCGTGATTACTGATGATTATCTTTAATTAAGTACATGATAATATGATCAGCTATCTGACCATGGAGTATTTCATGGTGGGTGAAGCAAGGCTCTCCATGTACAAAGCCACTTGAGAAGATTGTACATCCCCGGAAAAGACGGCTCGGAAGTTTCTGTCCGCCGGATTGTAAATGACTAGTTTCCTTTGATGCAAGAGGATTAGAATCTCCCCGTTCTTCAAAATACTCAGAAGTGACATCAGCCCTAGGTATTCAGAATCCATCTTCAGCGGAATGGTAGTGAAAATAGACCAAGATGCCTTGACCCCGTACTCATTCATTAACCACACCTGGTAATCAGACCCATGAGGGCTGTGAAACATACTCAGCCGCCCTCCTAAAACCCCCAAACCATAGAACGAGAAATTCTTGTCGCCGTCTCCCGGTAGGGGAACTTGCCGGTACGTCTCCTCCGCTATATCGAAAGAAACGATTGAGAAAGGCCTCTCACCATCACCGTTTGCGTAAGCTTGATCAGTGGTCTTTCCGCGGCGGACTGCCCAGTGGAGAGCCCCGTTGAGTAGGGTTCCGACAAGGTTGAACAGAAAGTAAAAAGGCAGGGTTTCGGACCTGGCTCTCCATGTATTGGCCTTCAAAGAATAAATGTCAAGTTGGGTGGCGAAAACGCCGGCCTTACTTGAAGAAGTGGCCCTCACTATTTTATAATCTTCCTTGCGCGAATCGTAACCGAAGCCATAGAAGTAATCCTTACCGGAGATTGTCGCCAATTTTGGGGCTGCATGAACCTGCCTGGTGGATGGATTGTAAATCATCATATCTTCCGAGTCAACCACCAAACACACCAGGCCGTTGCAAGAGCCGACAATCTTCATGTCTTTGACCGGCCGCCTCATTGTCACAGAGTACTCATGCTCCGCCTCCACGACCCTAGTAGTACTACTAACACCAGTTGTGCCGGCTGCTTCTGCCTTCGTTTCTGTTTCTGCCTTTGCTTCTGCTAGACTTTCTGCTTCACCGTCGCCACGGGATGGCAAGGTTGACGTTGCAGGTGCATCAATAGTAGTGGTATTGAGAACTTGTACGTGGACGGACTGGAGGAGGGACAAAGAGGAGAGCATGAGTCGTGCTCTTGACGATGTAGTTTTGCCGTGAGCATCATGATCATGATCACAATCATCGTCATCGTCGTCTTGTTTGGTAGAGCGGATAAGGAGGTGTGACTTGACAAACTTTGGGTCGGAGATGAGAGCAAGCCATGGCTTGCATACGCTTCTGAAACGAAGGAGGGACTTCACCGGCAGTTGCAGCAGAATTTCCTCCACAATCTCATAGGGAAGCTGCCGCTGATCATCGTGTTCATTATGCATATTGGAATGATCCAATAAGGTTCCCATGTGATATACAATTGGTTGAGGGAGGCTTGATGAAACTTGAGACTTTGAGTTCCACTATTTATAGAGCAATCACTGCAATAACTGCAAGTTGAGAGGTTTGATCCTTCACCTACATGTGAACTCCATCTGTCATTTTAGCATCTATGTATAAATTAATAAAGGACTAAACGATAAATTAGCAACTAGTACTGCTGATTAACTAAACGATAAAGCTAGCTAATTAAACAAATCTTTAACAATATACAATAATAAACAAGGATTACTTTGTGGAACTTGCATATCGATTGCTTAGACTAACTTGTACTAATTTGGAGCTACGGATAAGCATAAACAAGGCCTTTATATAATAAGTTGGAAAATAATATGCATTGGAAGCTAGCAATAATATAAAGTTTCTAATAGACATATATATGATAACCACGATTTGCTGCTATTCAGTTAACGCATCTTAATTTCAAACAGATCAAATTACTTTTATATATAAAACCGATCAGTCTATTATAAATCGTCATTCAAAGTAACAGGAAAGTACTTTAACCTGTATACACAAACGACCACATATAATTGAGCTTCAGTTGAGGTTTAAAAGTAGCTAAGTACGTAGCTAGTGAAGCAAATATTGTAGGCCGGCCGACTTTGGGATCCGTGAGCTTGAAAGATCAACCACCGGTCAATATTTAATCTATATATGTAACACTATTTTCTGACAGGGCTAGCTAATGTATTGTATATGTAATAATACCACCTCCATCTCTATCTAATTATACAACTGACGCATGCATAAATCTATATAACAAAATAAACGTTTACAAGCATGCAATTTGATGATGCGATTCCAATCAATACAAAACTGATGACACACGTACATATGTGTGTGTGTGTGTGTGTGTGTGTGTACATGCATAGTGGTTGTTGAGGTGGGAAGTTTAAATTACCTGCGGGCCGGCCGTGATCGGTTGAAGAAATTAATTACGTGGGACTTGGACTACCATTCATTACAAACTGGAAATGGCTTCGTTAATTAGGCAATGTCGCAGGTGATGTGCAAGAAGAATGAATGAGAGATTAAGATGTGTTTGCTGCAATATACACACACACAAGCGTGTATATATATATACCAGAGAGAGTGAGAGAGAGAGAATACTAGAGTAGACCCAGCGCGTTGTTGACATGTAGTTGCTCTTAATTTGGTGATGGCGTGCAGCGCTTACTTTGAACTTTCAACCTCGAGTCCACATCATGCCTTGTCGATATTGCCAATTGCCATGCCAGTCTATCTTTTTCGTGTGTCAAACTCTCAAGTGGTGTTAAATATTGGTTAATTATTATAAAATGTTAAAGTTAAAAGTAGCAGTACGTGACTTGATTGTAACGTAAGTTCATCGTACATTATACGTACGGTCAGTTTTAGTTTACAATTTATTTTAATTTTAAATAAAAAATTTATAATTATTTTTGATCGTACGATGTACGATAAACAGATATAATTGAAGAATTTCTAGAATTTTCACAAAGAAAATTTGAAGAGAATCCTCATTTATATATAGATATATACATGCTGGTCGGTCGTTTAACTTGAATGAAATTAATTCCTATTAGCTAGCTGGAAATATTGAATATCTTGTAATTGTCAACGGAGTGAGTACGGTGGTACGGTCGATCCGATACTTTGTTGAAAGTGTCATGTAACTCGCCTCCGCGCTTCAATGAGGGTCTGAGACTCCGACGCTATAATATTTGACAATGCCACAAAAAGTTGCTCGAGGGAGGGAGGGGCCGGAGGGTCAATTCCTTAGTCACCGCATACAACAATACGAACAAACAGATAATCCACCTTTAACTTTAACATGTTGAATTTTTCTTCATTAGTTCATTGATTATCATATTCTTAGGGGAATGCATCCGTTCAACATCTAAAGTAAATATATATAGTAATTTTAGGTAGATTAAATTTGTAAGTTATAAGAAATAAGTAAAAAAAGTACGTTAATCAATACTTAAATAATAATTAAATCATCAATTTTCATATATATTTAGTTTATAAACTTTTATGTACGTAAGTCATTTCTTTATTTTTCTTTAACTTTGTACTATATTAGCTGATATTAAGATTAAGCAGCTGCTGCAATTCCAAGAGATGGGGATTTGAAAGTCAGCCAACAATAAAAAGACCAACAGACATTTTTGAATTAAAATAAAGTTGTCAAAGTGGGAGCCGGTGACTAACAACTCACGCACCATGGCCAGGCCTGGCCACCACCACTTCCTCTCGGTCCCCTCTTGTGCTTCCCAGTTCCCTCCCTTCCACTCAAATAATATCTAGCAAAGTGAGTGAGTTGGTGAACATGGCAGATTATTATATATGGCAACTTCAACAAGGCAGATTATTATATATGCAACTTAAACAAGGCAGATTATTATATATGCAACTTAAACAAGGCAGATTATTATATATGGCAAATTAAACAAGGCAGATTATTATATATGGCAAATTAAACAAGGCAGATTATTATATATGCAACTTAAACAAGGCAGATTATTATATATGGCAAATTAAACAAGGCAGATTATTATATATGGCAAATTAAACAAGGCAGATTATTATATATGGCAAATTAAACAAGGCAGATTATTATATATGCAACTTAAACAAGGCAGATTATTATATATGGCAAATTAAACAAGGCAGATTATTATATATAGCATATATGGCTATAGCAACTTGCATTAAAACGATATTCATAAAGACCGCCTTCATACACATCAGAATCAGTGAAAGCAAAGTCAAGATGCATTATTATTAATATTGTCATTACTATTACGTGACACAAGCCGATAGAGAAATTCAAGATCTAATCGGATAAATAGTTTCGTAGTCATAAGTTATTCGGAAGATAGTTCATTTGGTAAAAAATTTCAGATTTAAACTCTTGCGATCAAAGTTTGTTAGGATTTATACCCGAATTAAAACATTTGTTATTTTTCCGTTAGTAGCTTGCAAGTGGGTCTCACGGGTAAGACTAAGATGGTCATTTCATCATTTCCATCTTAGCTCCCTTCACACCCACAGAGCTCAAGCTTCACTAACCTCCTACACCCCTGAGCTAAAATCGTCAACCCGATATCCGAAATCACAGCCCTGTAAAACCCATCAACAGAACCAATCAATTTCACAATCTGCAAGTTCCTACACCCATTAATCCCCTTCAATGCCAAGTCCCCACAACAATGCAGCTCCAGTTCCTGCAATATCTGGCACTCCTCAGCAATCCTCACCAACCCATTTTCACTGGCGCCGATAACCGCAATTCGCTGCAAATTCAGGTACGATTGAGCGATCAATCTCAGCCCATGGTCCACAACACTATTCTTCAACATATCGCTCTCCTCAATGAATCCATTGGGGCTAAAAAGCGAGTCGATATGAACAGTCAAAGCCTTCCTGGTCACCAGAATCCCCGAATTCCTTGGGGACCGAATGCAGGCATGGACAATATCGACATCGTCCAGATTCAAGAACTGGGCAAAAACCCGACCCCAGTCCAAAAACCCCCAATCGAAAAGCTTCACGGAATTCACCAGTCGGCCGTGAAGGTATAGCCACCGCTTGCAGACGAGGGAGTTGGGAAGGTAGTGAGGAATAGGGAGCTTGGAGAAGATGCGGAGTAGGAGCTCGTCGGAGAGGATGGAGGTGAAATCGGGTGCAGGCGGGTCAAAGGTAAGGGAATTGAAGGCTGATGAGAGGTCGGGCTCGGAGTGGGGAGACGGCGAGGCGGTGGAGGGAGAAAGGGAGTTTAAATGGTTCTGGAGCTGCATCTTCATGATAACATGCTTGAGAGCTTGGTCCGGGAGGCTCAGTGGGCGCCGCCGCTTAGGGAGAATTGGCGGTGGTGAACTTTTTGGGCTTCCGGATTTTCTGTCTGGCGAATTTGGAGACATTAATTAAAGCTTTTTGGAAGATAGAGAGAGACACACACAGAGACAGAAATAATCATCTTAGTCTTATATGTGAAACCCACCTGCAAGCTACTAACAGAGCAATGACAAAAGTTCTAATTTCGGACATAAATCTTAACTGACTTTGATCATAGAGATTTAAATCCAAATTATTTTTACCACAGAACTATTTTCCGAATACCTTATGATCACAGGAATCATTTATCCGAATAGGACTAAATTCAAAGTGCGAACGCTTGCTTTCTTGTTTCTTCTTTTTATTATACTGTTTGAACATGCTTTTGCATTATTTATTTATTTTTCTTTAAAAAAAAAGGAAAATTTTTATAGTAAGTTACGATTATTCATTCATTTTGAGTCCGGAAAGACTATGAAGAATTTCATTCTACCTATGATTATAATTAAACAAACTCATCAGCTTGGAGCATCAAATCAGAGACCTCTCATGTTTTTTTTTTGCATCATTGTTTTATTAAATTAAGGCTCTTAAATTTTAATATATTTTTTAACAAACGATATTATTTGAGGTGATGAGTGAGTTTAGCTTCACAATGGGCTAGCAATAATGTGGTTCAAATTCGCCTTTGGTGAGAATTAAACCTAAAACTTATCCTTTACATGTAAATAGGAATATTGTGGTCTTAAATAGTTAAATTGAATGAGGATCTTCTCTTGATCCTCTTTGTGTGGATCCTGAGGATTCTCACATCGTATCTGTTTATCGTATATCGTGCGATCAGTTTTCGTCATGTACTGTTTATGTTTAATTTTAAATAAAAATATTTAAAATAATTTTTAATCACATAATATATAATAAACAAATATGATACAAAAATCTTCATAATCTTCACAAAAAAAATCCGAAAAAATTCCCATTCAGTTAAATTTTAATATTTTCTATGAGCTTATAGGCGGGAATAAATCAGCACGGGCGATGATATCATAATATGCTTGTAGTCAGTCAAATCGTTTGAATTGATTTGAATTCAATACAGAGAAATCATGCATTATCCAATGCTAGTTGTTTGTGGGGATCCGTGTGTTGCAAGGGATTACTCAAGGACTAAACGATAAATTAGCAACTAGTACTGCAGATTAACTAAACGATAAAGCTAGCTAATTAAACAAATCTTTAACAATATACAATAATAAACCAGGATTACTTTGTGGAACTTGCATATCGACTCCAGAATGAAGTCAATGATATTTGCATCGACCTTATTGAATTAACATCACCAAAATATGACTGCCTAGACTAACCTGTAGTAATTTGGAGCTGCGGATAAGCATAAACAAGGCCTTTATATAATAAGTTGGAAGATAATATGCATTGGAAGCTAGCAATAATATAAAGTTTATAATAGACATATATATGATAACCACGATTTGCTGTTATTCAACTAACGCATCCTAATTTCAAACGGATCAAATTACTTTTACATATAAAACCAATTAGTCTATTATAAATCATCATTCAAAGTAACAGGAAAGTACTTTAACCTGTATACGCAAACGACCACATATAATTGAGCTTCAGTTGAGGTTTAAAAGTAGCTAAGTGAAGCAAGTATTGTAGGCCGGCCGATTTGGGATCCATGAGCTTGAAAGATCAACCACCCGTCAATATTTAATCTACATATGTAACACTATTCTCTGACAGGCTAGCTAATGTATTGTATATGTAATAAGGACAAGGATTGTCTACACTTCCACTTCTGGTGTTCGTACCCTCCTGTTTTACGTAATCACGGTTAAGCCACGTTAACATTTTATATATATATATATATTTTTTTATAGAGATAATAAGATAAAAATGAATAGTAATATAAAATATTGACGTGGCTTAACCATGACCACACAAACAGGAAGGCACGGGAGGACAGACAATCCTTGTCCATGTAATAATACCACCTCCGTCTCTATCTAATTATACAACTGACATAAATCTATATAACAAAATAAACGTATATGTGTGTGTGTGCGCGCGCTGTTGACATTGTAGTTCTTAATTTGGTGATGGCGTGCAGCGCTTACTTTGAACTTTCAACCTCGACTCCATATCATGCCTTGTCGATATTGCCAATTGCCATGCCAGTCTATCTTTTTCGTGTGTCAAATTCTCAAGTGGTGTTAAATATTGGTTATTTATTATAAAATGTTAAAGTTAAAAGTAGCAGTACGTGACTTGATTGTACTATATAGAATGATTCTGAAAATTCTTCAATTACTTACATTTTTTAAAAAATTGTCCAATAACCTACTACAAAACTCTTCTCAATTACGTACATTAATCGTACATAATACGACTAGTTTTCGTCAGTTACAATTTATTTTAATTTTAAATGAAAAAAATTTATAATTATTTATGACCGTACGATGTACAATAAACAGCCGTGATTGAAGGATTTCCGAAATTCTCACAAAAAGGATATGAAGAAGATCCTCATTCATATATATATATATATATATATATATATATATATATATATATAGACACACACACATGCTAGTCGATCGTTTAATTTGAATGAAATTAATTCCTATTAGCTAGCTGGAAATATTGAATATCTTGTAATTGTCAACGGAGGAGTACGGTTGTACGGTCAATCCGATACTCTGTTGAAAGTGTCATATAACTCGCCTCCGCGCTTCAATGGGTGTCTGAGACTACGACGGTATAATATTTGACAATGCCACAAAAAGTTGCTCGAGGGAGGGAGAGGCCAGAGGGTCAATTCCTTAGTCACCGCATACAACAATACGAACAAATAGATAATCCACCTTTAACTTTAACATGTTGAATTTTTCTTCATTAGTTCGTTGATTATCATATTCTTAGGGGAATGCATCCGTTCAACATCTAAAGTAAATATATATAGTAATTTTAGGTAGATTAAATTTGTAAGTTATAAGAAATAAGTAAAATAAGTACGTTAATCAATACTTAAGTAATAATTAAATCATCAACTTTCATATATATTTAGTTTACAAACTTTTATGTAAGTAAGTCATTTCTCTCTATTTTCCTTTAACTTTGTACTATATTAGCTGATATTAAGATTAAGCTGCTGCTGCAATTCCAAGAGATGGGGATTTGAAAGTCAGCCAACAATAAAAAGACCAACAGGCATTTTTGAATTAAAATAAAGTTGTCAAAGTGGGAGCCGGTGACTAACCCCTCTTGTGCTTCCCAGTTCCCTCCCTTCCACTCAAATAATATCTAGCAAAGTGCATAAGTTGGTGAACATGGCAGATTATTATATATGGCAACTTAAACAAGGCAGATTATTATATATGCAACTTAAAAAAGGCAGATTATTATATGGCATATATGGCTATAGCAACTTGCATTAAAACGATATTCATAAAGACCGCTTTCATACACCTCAGAATCGGTGAAAGCAAAGTCAAGATGCATTATTATTAATATTGTCATTACTGTTACGTGACACAAGCCGATAGATAAATTCAAAGCCTAATCGAATAAATAGTTTTCGTGGTCATAAGTTATTCATAAGATAACTCATATGGTTAAAAATTTCGAATTTAAACTTCTGTAATCAAAGTCTGTTAAGATTTATATCCGAATTAAAACATTTGTCATTCCTCTATTAGTAGCTTGCAGGTGGGTCTCACAGGAAAGATTAAGATGGTCATTTCATCGTTCCCATCTTAGCTCCCTTCACGCCCACAGAGCTCAAGCTTCACTAACTTCCTACACCCCTGAGCTAAAATCGTCAACCCGATATCCGAAATCACAGCCCTGTAAAACCCATCAACAGAACCAATCAATTTCACAATCTGCAAGTTCCTACACCCATTAATCCCCTTCAATGCCAAGTCCCCACAACAATGCAGCTCCAGTTCCTGCAATATCTGGCACTCCTCAGCAATCCTCACCAACCCATTTTCACTGGCGCCGATAACCGCAATTCGCTGCAAATTCAGGTACGATTGAGCGATCAATCTCAGCCCATGGTCCACAACACTATTCTTCAACATATCGCTCTCCTCAATGAATCCAAAAAGCGAGTCGATATGAACAGTCAAAGCCTTCCTGGTCACCAGAATCCCCGAATTCCTTGGGGACCGAATGCAGGCATGGACAATATCGACATCGTCCAGATTCAAGAACTGGGCAAAAACCCGACCCCAGTCCAAAAACCCCCAAACGAAAAGCTTCACGGAATTCACCAGTCGCCCGTGAAGGTATAGCCACCGCTTGCATATGAGGGAGTTGGGGTGGTAGTGGGGAATAGGGAGCTTGGAGAAGATGCGGAGTAGGAGCTCGTCGGAGAGGATGGAGGTGGAATCCAGTGCAGGCGGGTCAAAGGTAAGGGAATTGAAGGCTGATGAGAGGTCGGGCTCGGAGTGGGGAGACGGCGAGGCGGTGGAGGGAGAAAGGGAGTTCAAATGGTTCTGGAGCTGCATCTTCATGATAACATGCTTGAGAGCTTGGTCCGGGAGGCTCGGTGGGCGCGGTCGCTTAGGCAGAATTGGCGGTGGTGAACTTTTTGGGCTTCCGGATTTTCTGTCTGGTGAATTTGGAGACATTAATTAAAGCTTTTTGGAAGATAGAGAGAGAGACACACACAAGGACAAATAATCATCTTAGCCTTACCTATGAGACTCACCTGCAAGCTACTAGAATGACAAAAATTTTAATTTTGGGTATAAATTTTAATTGATTTTGATCACAAAGATTTAAATCCGAATTTTTTTACCATAGAATTATCTTCCAAATACTTTATAACCACTATTTATCCATTTAGGCCTCAATTCAAAGCGCGAACGCTTGCTTTCTTGTTTCTTCTTTTTATTATACTGTTTGAACATGCTTTTGCATTATTTATTTATTTTTCTTATAAAAAAAAGGAAAAAATTGATAGTAAGTTATGATTATTCATTCATTTTGGATCCGGAAAGACTATGAAGAATTTCATTCTACCCATGGTTATAGTCAAGCACACTCACCAGTTTTGATCATTAAACCAGAGACCTCTCACGTTTTTTTTTGTTTTTTTGCATCATTGTTTTATTAAATTAAGGCTCTTAAATTTTAATATATTATTTTAACGAACAATATTATGTAACGAGATGGGTGAGTTTAGCTTCATAATGAGCTAGCAATAATGTGGTTCAAATTCGCCTTTGACGAGAATCAAACCTAAGACTTATCCCTTACAAGTAAATAGAAATATTGTGGCCTTAAATAGTTAAATTGCATGAGGATCCTCTCCGGATCCTCTTTGTGTGGATCCTGAGAATCCTCACATCGTATCCGTTCATCGTATATCGTGCGGTCAGTTTTCATCATGTACTGTTTGTGTTTAATTTTAAATAAAAATATTTAAAATAATTTATGATCATATAATGTATAATGAATGAACATGATATGAAAATCTTCAGAATTTTCACAAAAAAAAAAAATCTGAAGAGGATTCCCATTCAATTAAATTTTAATATTTTCTATGAGCTTATAGACGGGAATAAATCAGCACGGGCGATGATATCATAATATGCTTGTAATCAGTCATATCGTTTGGATTGATTTGAATTCAATACAGAGAAATCATGCATCATCCAATGCTAGTTGTTTGTGGGGATCCGTGTGTTGGCAAGGGTTTACTCATGGGATGACTTTTCAACGTGGCATTGAGGGAAGAAAGGATAAAGGATAGCATAGAAACCGGATCTTCTCCTGAGCATGGGGACCGAATGTTGAGCAGTTTATTTGGATCCTTAAAATTTAATCAAATGATTGTAATGATTATAACTTTTAGATTGACTTCCTATTTGTAGCTATTGGATCAAATTTCAAAGATTCAAATAAACTACTCAGCAGATTCCGACCACCATCCTCAGGAGGAGATCTGGTTCCAATAGCATATACCATCCATTTGGGATATTACTCTTAGAAGCACGCCAAGTGTCAATTAGGATAAGGATGATTTTTGTGATACCATCGGAAGATGGATTTGGTTATCATCAAAAGGTAAATGGTAGCACCGTATGCACTCTACAACATGTTCAAGCGTATTTATCCTATAAATCTAAGAGACCGTGCAACTCAGAAGGCTTTTTCCTACTTAATAAACAACTCAAATGCTTTACATAAAAACTCTCGCACTATGTAAACCATCTTATCACATTTGTTGACAAAAGATACTAAATATCTTAATATGTGAAACGTCTTACACATTTGTTGAGAAAAAAAAAAACACTAAGTATCTGAACCCAAAATACTAATTATGATTGCTTATAGTTAGTTGGTGATTCAAATCTCGACTATTAAGAGATCACTTCATTAGCTTCATGTAGAATCGGTATCGCTCTTGTGCATTTTGCAACGGTATCGCTTTCTTATGCATTTTGCAATCGGTATCACTCTCTTGTGCATTTTCTCACATGACCGACTTCCAGCTGCATGCACATACATATGTCAAATTTATTACAACTTCAATGGGGGGATTTGAATCTGCAAATTTTCCATTTTTTTGAGCTTCAAGAACTCCGTTGTCTGCTGCTTCACCCCTAAACGCCATTTTTTCCGAGTCAGCACGCGTTCAGCAAATCTGAATTTTCAGATTTCAGTACTCCAAACTCTCTTCCGTTGTCGATCTTCTATGGGAAATTAGAATGTGGCAATTTTACTAGATAATCTCTCCATTATTTTTCACTATTTTAATTCATTCGGGTTTTGTTTAAGAGTAGGGTTGGAATATGACGCCTAATGTCTAGCGTGTGCGCGCCTAACACATACTAAATTGCCAATAATATACAAACAATGGTACGAGCTAATAGCAACATACCTTCCTAATGATTTTTTGTTTACTTACTTATAATGAGCTAATAAAGGTTTATTTACGACAGCGTCCCCCAAAATTCATGCTCGTTCTCATTTTGCACCTTGAAACTCTTTTTTTTTTTTTTTTTTTTTTTTTTTTTTTTTTTCACTTAACCTCCTAAAACTACATTACCTCTCTCACTAGTCACTATGCCCTTTTCTTTGTCCATACTGCCAAATAAACTGACGTAGAACGTTTAGCGGAGGAATTTGAAGCACAACTTGATAGGTGTAAGGAGAAGATCAACAGGTCATGAGTTGCACACTATGATTTAAATAGCATTCAATATGTATAATTAATCTGGTATATTACAAATAGAATAAATAGGCAATGTAAGTGTTGCTCTAAAGATCATATTTTGTATTCCAGATTAATCAATATAGTCTTTGAGAATTCTCTCACTTTTTTCTGGTGGATTCCAGATGAATCATTAAGGGTGAACGTGAGGATCCCTCAGTTTATCTTCTTGTTGCGTCAGTTGGCATCAGAGTAGGTTTGCCTTGGCTCGATGGCGAATGACCCGACGAATGATAGGACTCGTCCTGCTGGGGAACTAGTTTCCAGGACAGAGTTTGACGCCTTTGCTACAAGCGTTGAAGAGATTCGGCAATTGCTTCTCAACATGGGAAACAACAACGACAATAATGACAACAACAATCTACAAAACGATCGGGAAAACCGACGTGGTGGTGGTAGAGGCAACCACAATGGTCATCGTCAACGAAAGGCTAGTGAATCAGATTCTGAGGAGGAGGTCGACTAGCCCGAGAACCCATACGCTGCTAATCAAAATAACTAACAACCCATTGAAGATTACCGTTTGAAGGCCGACATTCCTTATTTTAATGGTCATCTATCCATTGAAGGATTTTTAGATTGGCTCGTGGAGGTAGAGAGATTCTTTGAGATTATGTCAGTACCGGAGGAGAAGATGGTTAAGATAGCAGCTTTTCGCTTGAAGGGAAGTGCGGCTGTATGGTGGGATAATTTGCAGAAGTCGCGACAAAGGCAGGCCATATAGAGAAATAGGTTACGAGCAACATGGCATAGGATGAAGCAGTTGATGATGGACCGTTTCTTTCCAGTAGATTATGAGCAACATCTCTATCGCCTCTACCGTAATTGTACCCAAGGTAGCAGAATAGTAGAAGATTATACCGATGAGTTCCTACGGTTGGCAGAGAGAAATTCTTTGAATGAGACTTAGGGGCAGACAGTGTCAAGATATGTCAATGGATTGACGACGTCAATACATGATATAATTGGGTTACAAGTTTCCTGGGATGTCCATGAGGCTCAAAATATGGCTATGAAGGCACAACAGTTAGAGAAAGAACTAAAAAAACATGAACAAAAAGAGAAGAAATTGAACTATGGCAATAATAATAGTTACCATAGGAGGGCTTGTGTAGTTGTCGTTATTTTTGACGGAGAAGTTGCAGAGGTGAGGTTGGGAGAGAGATGGCGTCGGAGTCGAGAGAGATAGTGTCAAGTTGAAATGAACGGTTAAGATCCAATCTCAATCAAATTCAACGATTACTATTAACTGATTTAAATATAAAATTATATTTAAACATTTTAGCTTCAATGTTACCGAACAATGGTCAAAGGAAACTGAATACCATACTGAAACTTTCGGTATTGTTCGATTTTTTGTTTTTCGGTTTCTTGTATTTCGAGATCGGTAAAATTCGGTTCGGGTTTTTTCAGGTATTTTTTCCAGCCCTAAAGAGGCACCGTGAGAAAAAAAAGAGTTTTAGGGGGCATTGAAGTAAATCAGCCTGGAATGAATGAAGTCATGAATCGGAGGGTAGTGAGAAGTTAGCGGAATTGGATCAAATTAAGAAGTCATAAAGTCAAAAATCATATCATTTTCATTATGATTATAATATGTCATAAGTCATTTGGTAGGAATTGAAATGAAATGTTCTTCTATCAGACAATTGAATAAACATTGTGAAACTATGGATTTAAATTACGGATATTTTGATATAGACGCTTCAGTTTTGAATTTTCTAAATCAAACATCTATGCCTTTTAATGATTTGATTAAAGTTTTTATTGTCATAATTTTGGTGCTATATGCACATTATATTAACAAATTTCCTATAATCTAGCCTTTTGATTACACTCCCCTCCTTTAGAGATAATTGTAAAAAATTTTAAAAAAATTAAAAAAAAAGTTCATTAGATTCAATTTACTTTCACAATAATGCTACAATTTAGCAATAATTATCTATGATTTAAGATATTTTCTTTCCAAAATAGTTTTAAATATTTTTAAATCCTCCAAAATCAAACGTACCAAAATAAGTTTTTCTTTTAGTACGTTAAGAGAAAATAGGATTGAGAATAATATAAATGTACTAATACACAATGTGTACAAAATAAAATGTACCAATATTAACAACATGTATCAAATCAAACGTACCAAAATTGCAAATAAACGTATCAATTAACGATTTTTGTAAATTCAAACGTACCCGCAGATAATATATACGTAATATATTGTACCTAATAATAATTCGTCAATAACTATACTAAAAAAAAAAGCAAAAAATATATAATTCGACAAAAAAATTGAAAAAAAATTACACGGAGCTTTTACGTTGATCACCAACTATTTGAAAAGAAAAAACCATTTGGAAAAAGAAATAATATTAAATGTTTGCATAACAAAAAAAAAAAAAAACACAGTGATTAAAAAAACATATATGGAAGAAAAGAAAATATAGTTTAATTACCAATATCTCCACTAAATAAGGAAAAGTGCATCATGCAGATAAAATGATAAATTCAAAATTATTTTAATTTTAAAAAATAGAGGTGACTATTAATCAAAGCACTTTAATCAAATTTAAAAAAGGTACAAATGTTTAATCTAAATGATATAGAAAAACTGTAGATGATTCTAATTTTCCCTTTAAATTA